CCCCAAAACCCCAAAACCCCAAAACCCCAAAACCCCAGAACGAATCTGAATTAGCCTAATTAATAATTTTAGCAATAATGTTGAATGGAAGGGGACTAGTTCTTTAGTTATAACTTTGCTTCTCTTTCACGAACCCTCTTCGTTCTATACATAGATGATTATATATAATCGAGACAAACTATCCCTAAAAAGCAAGGATTGTATCCTTATTGGTGAATCATAATATTAGGGAAGTAGGAGTACATGCAGCTTGATAATTAAAAACACCTACTTTCTCTAAGTTAGGAATTATTCATCAAATGAGGACACGTTGATAATAGTTGGGTCATCTACACATCAGATATAGAATTAATTACTTTCAGCTAATGACTTCAAACTTTCTTTATTGCATTTTTCTCACTGCTTCATGAAGTTCATCATAATTGATGAATGAGAAGAAGAGCCCACGTTAGCGATAAATTTAGGGATACTCCCTTTCAGATCGTTTATAGCAAAACTAATGACTTCAGTTTGGCTCTCATCGATCTTTCTTAAGATCCACCCAGCAATGACCTAGATATTAGTGGGTTAATGCGTACTATTTCTCCTCTCACAATGCCTTTCGGATTTTTAGGAGCTTTAGGGTGCTCTACTGAAAAACTAACAAGAATTGGAACTCTTTGATCTAAAGAATATAAACTTAATCATTACTCTTGTTCTCTGGGTCTTCCATCGTTGTCTGAATATTAGCAATTATAAAATCTCTTCCTGAGACCATCAGAGCTCCTTTAACTCTCAAATATGTTATAACTCACTGGCTTTCAAATTCTTCAAGAATTTTCAAGTCTTCTCCAAATTCGTTAGATTCAAAGACTTTCTCTTGATCTCCAAGTATTTCCATGATAAACTGATTGTTATAAGGCATGATCATTTTACCATACACTCCTGAATGATTTCCTTCACCAGAGTAAACCTTCAGTTCTATTCCATTCTTTGTTGATTGCTTCTTCCAGTTTTCTTCTTTTCTGATGGCGTCTTTAAAGCATTCAAGCTTCTCTTTCATTAGTTGTTCTGTAACGATACAGTTCCCTTTGAAGGCAATAGGTTCTTCCACTATTGGTTTCTCTTCTTCATCTACTTCTTTAAGTTCTGCTGTTGAGGTTGACTCTCAACTTTTAGACTCTTCATCGATCATTCTACAAGATGATGAACAATTTTTAACAAATAACTTACCGGTGGTCATTGATCCTTGAAACGAAGTAAGAATCTGCTCTTTTCCTATGCCCAAATCCTTTTGGGACATCCTCTGATCTCAGAGTGCTTCTGTTGGTATCATTCTCTGTGTGAGTGTCAGCTAAAAATAGCATTAAAAGGAATTTATAGGTGAGACAATATTTGTAAATAAGCTCAAATTTTAATAGCTCTTACAAAGAGGATGAGCTTTTTCATCCATTTCTTTTGCTCAATATGAAAAGTAGTCTTCTATATCGTCTCATTTGTCGCTTTCTTCTTCATTGACAGAGTGAGGATGCAAAATCGATACTGGCATATTAGGAACACCTATGAAATTAATAGCTTTATTACAGTTATTCTTCAAAGAACGCTCAATTTTCACTAAATATTTCCAAATATCTCGTTGTTTGCTCATTAGAGAGTTGATCTTGAGATCTCTCTTTCTGAGCTCTTCTCTGCTTTCGACCTCTTTTGATTCATAGAAATCCTCAACTGAAGAAATTTTATGACTAAGAGATTCGATACAATTATGCTTAGGTTCCTTTGGTGTGGAACAAGAGAAAAATCTAAAATATTAATTTATATTCATACTGATTTCATTTTTCGCACTTTTTGGCATTTAAGCATTTTTGCTCCCAATGCTTTTCCAACTGACATCTAAAAAGATCTTTCTGTCCTCAAAATGATCAATCCACTTTGACATATTTGCAATGTTTTTCATGAGAGGAAATATCTTTCCTCAAATACTTCTTATCTCAAAGTGGATGAGCAGAACAAGAAACCAAAAGGAACTCACATTCTTGATAGTGACCAATTACACCAGAATACGAAGCTATATGATTTCAACCGTTAGACTTATTCGAGCATTTGAACTCCAGCTCCTCTAATTTATTGATAACTTGGGCTGGTAGTTTCTTTGTTTTTGGTGATTGACACATCTTTGGTCATCACCCAACTTCTTGTTGAAATTTATTGAATCATTCACCACAAAAACTAGCTGAGCTAGATTTGTCTTTAGCATTCTTTGCACAACTAAGACACTTGATTCCTTCAAAGAGAACTCATTCTCAGAGATCTCATAATAAATTCGGATTCAAAGCTTTAGAATTCTTGCTTAAATACTTCTTGTTAAAGATGCTACTTTTCTTCATTTTAATTTCAAAATATTATAACCTAATTTCAATGCCTCGCTTAAGTTCTGGGGTTTTGGGGTTTTGGGGTTTTGGGGTTTTGGGG